ATAATATTATTTATCCTACTCCGGATAATTATAACTTTAACCACCAGAGTGCGTATCGTTATCTTGTTTTCCCAATAATTTTTTTTTTGCTTATAGGCATAGACCTTATATGTGTATAAGRTCTATGCTTATAGGCCATGTAGGCCTTTTACCGTTTTTATCATATACTCTCAGATGGTAGCACTGCTTTAAGACACTTCTATGCTTTTTATTTTCATTATTTTTACTTTTACTATGCCCTCGACTTTTATTTTTCCTGTGCATGATGATTTATCAATCAATATCTGATTAATAACGAAAAGCTTGTATTTATGGTATACAGGGTGATTCTTTTATCAAACAACACTCATTCTTTCAAAAACTATTGAATTTTTTCAAAATTTTAGATCCCCCTTGTTCTAGAACTATATATTTCTTTAATATTTTCGCCCTTATATTTATCAGGTAAACCATTATCAACTTTTGATTTTCAAATGACAACCTATACTTTAAATTTCATAAGCTAAAAAGGCTATTTTTTCAATGAATTTTCACGTTTAAATTTTCATTTTTCGTTYATCCGTTTAAAAGATATTATAGCCTCCCAAAGTTGAGTGGTTTTGTGTAGTGTTTGTATGTTATAGGTGTATGTTAAGTGGTATTTACACACAAACACCATATGAGTGTTGTTTGATAAAAGAATCCTGTATATAGCTAGAATGCTAGATAATATTTTACGCTCAATGATGTGTAAAAATAAWGATTATAATTATTTGGGAGAGGTAAAACTTTTAGGATAGATAMTTAATTGAGTATCAATATATAAAAATTATTAGGAAATGGAATTACTAATAAAAAATATCAGTATTTAATAATACAATGATTTTAAATAAAACATTGAATTGGRCACCGAGATTTTTTATTACTTTTTAAGTAGTTTTGTTTGTGATAGGTTAAATGATAAACTATAACCATAGTAATTAGAGATCACCAGGAGGAAATCTTCCCCCGGTTAATCTCACTCATTTTACGAATTATTTTGATGAGTATGTTCGTCACAAGTATCATGATTTACTTACGTTTCTCCATTTAAATTCCATGTACTCGATTAATAACACACATCCGATAGGAAATGTTTCAAACATGCTGTAGTACAAGTGATCAATTCGATTGGACATCAAAATCATAGTTTTGTTGGTTTCGGAAATATACGATTCTTGGGGAACATAATTTTTCTGTAGATAGAAAAACGATAACAATAAATATTAACATCTCACAGTTCCCATTTGATAATTTATTATTCGCTTGTACGTACGCGAATTTCTAAGCCTAATACTTCCAAGATGTTCGATTCCAGTTTTATCATTTTTAGACACTCTTCTTTGGTAATCTCTCCAATGCTGGATATCTGGTCAAACGATTTTCGTTTATTGATAAGACTACTAAAAAATAAAAAATAAAAACGCCATTTATAACAATAAAGATTATAATTTGGTCGTGTAATGGACGTAAAGATAAAAGATTGTGTACACACTGAATCATGCCCTCTTCCATAAGATTGTAGTTCCTCAGAAACTTTATGTCAAAATGTTTTTCCGAAACCTTCAGCATTGCTGCGATGCTGGTATAATATAATATATTATTACAACCTTTGAGATGTAGCAGACAGATGATTATGGTACTGTTATATGATTTGTGAATAAAAATATAAGTACAACGAAACTCGTCGACAGTATGTACGTGCACGAGTTGATGAAGAACAGGATGTTATGTTAGTGTTTATCGTTGAGTGTTTTTCTTCGGTGTTGATACTAGATCGAAGCTGGCCGACTGCAGCGCTGATTCGTCTGGYTAGTCGATGACGTATTAGACTTCTGCTGCAGTCGCAGGCAGACGAGGAATTGATTGTGATGATAGCGACGTAGGCGATGGTGGTGGCTGTTTTTCGGCGATTCAAAAATCGATTTCAAACTGATGCTGCAGAAAGAGAGCCAGTTGCGCTAGCGCAGGTTCCAACCCCTACCTCCTCAACACCTCTACAATCAACCACCGTTGTCGCGCGTGGACCTCGGAGTGTAATAGTGAAACGAAGAAAACAATAAATTAGCCTCCTTATTAGAAAATTAGAAAAACGTGTTCTATGATATACAGGTAGATGTTTCCTTATCGATTCAAATCTATCAAAAATCCTGAGCASTCCATAAATAATCCTTAAATGTTCGTACGGATATCAGACTATGGAGGTTTCACCATAGTAATCAATAGTAAACTATATTTTTCCCAGAATTTCAGCRGTCACTAAGGGCACATTGCGCATTTCAGCTGGTTATTGGCTCATGTTAATAACTTATTATTCAATTTTATAATAATTCCCAATTGTGTTTGGAAGATTTTTTGTTCTGTCTCTGGTTTTCTATACAAATTGTCCATAMAAATATATGTATAGCATATACAGTCCATAAAAGTATAAACATTAAATTAAATTTAGTTATTTAAATGTTCAAAATCATGAAACAATCTACTAAATAAATAATTATTTTAATTCAAACGGATTACTATAGTAGCTTTGAATATCCTAAAAAAA